TTTTCATTTTCCCAATTTTATATTATAATTTTTTGTCATTTTATTTTCTTTATTTTCTCAATGTTTCTTTTGATTTTATAATATTTCGTTTATTCAATTTTTCAAATTGTCAATCTTTGATTTCTCAATTCCTCATTTTCCAATTAAATTTTTCAATTTTTTTCAATATATCGATTTTACACTTATTCAATTTTTATGATTCTCAATTTTTAAGCTTTCGATTTGATAATTTTTTGTTTCCTAAAAATGTAAAGTCCTTAATTTCAAATTTGTGCATTTTTAGTTTTCGTTTTATATTTTTCACTTTTTCATTTTCAAATTTTTAATTTTACTCTTTCACAATTTTTTATTTTTTTTTTCGAGAAGTCGAAAAATAAAAAATCGAGAAACTAAAAAATCGGAAAGCTAAAAAATCGGAAAAAATTGAAAGATTGATAAAATGAACATTGCAAAATCGAAAAAATGGAAAATCCAAATTTTGTACATCAAAGAACTGAAGGAACAAAAAATTGAAATGTTGGAAAACTAAAAATCGACAACGTTAAAAGTCGAAAAATTGGAAAATTATAGGATCAATCAAAATTGTAAAGTTGAAAAACTGTAACACTGAGAGATCGAAAAACTGAAAAATTAAAAGTCGAAAAATTAAAAATCGAATAAATGAAAAAGTTTTAAAATCCATAAATTGAAAAATCGAAAAATTCTAAAATCGTAAAATAAAAAAATTACTACATATTTAAAATGAAAACTAGAAAAATGCAAACTAAAAATTGAAGAAACGAAAAACTGAAAAACTGAGAAACTGAAAAAACCAAAAACTGAACAATCCAAAAATTGAAAAATTTCGCATTGAATTAAAATAAAATCAGAACACTGAAAACCGAAAAACTGAAAAATTAAAGAAAATAAAACCAATATGAAAAATTCCAAATCAAAAAATTGAAGACATGAAAAATTGAAAAATTAAAAATTGGAAACTCGTGAAACTGCAAATCTAAAAATTGAAACATCCGAAAGTTGGAAAATCGAAAAACTGAAAAATTTAAAAATGAAAACTTTAAGAGTTGCAGATCATAATTTTCAAAAACCGGAAAATAAAAAATTGAAACATCGCAAATCGAAAAGTTGAAGAAACGGAAAAGTAAGAAAATTAAAATTGGAAAAACAATAATTTATAAAATCGAAACATTAAAAAATCGAATAACTCAAAAAACAAGGAAAACAAAAAACGGAAACAAAAAATTGCAAATCGAAAAATTGAAAAATTAAAAATTGAAAACTCGACGAACTCAAATCTAAAAATTGCAAAGTCCAAAAACTGAAAAATTCAGAGTTGGAAAATTGGAAGACTGAACAATTTAAGCTTGAAAACTCAAAAAATCGCAAATCTAGAAATTTAAAAAACAAAAAAAAACGTAAAAAAATTGAACGATTGAAAAATTGAACTCAAAAAAGCTGCAGATCTGTTACTGGTACCACTGCTTTTTCTTTATACAGGTTATCAGAAAACAAATATCGCAAAAATTTTGATGATTTTTCAAAGAAACAGGATTTGTCGACCAGCACTTCAGGGGCAAGGAAAATTCTGTTGAAATATGATAAAAATACTACAGACTTGTATTATATGAAGAAACACGATGTGCTGTATTTTGAATCATTTTTTTATGAGGAACATATATATGTCAATTCATGGAACGTTTTTTTACCAAAATCTGGATGCCTAGGGTCAACAATCAAGGCGGATTCATGAATCACTAGTACAGTATATTACTTTATGAAAATGTAAATAGTATTTACTACGCATAATTTTGCGGTACTGTCATAAAATTGTTAGTGAGGATGATTAGACAAATTTTGTTTAGCGTTTTACCATGTATATCATGTTACCAACATATATAGAAAATTTGACATTAATCGATTCGGCGGATGAACGGAACGAGACATCTTGTATAAAACTACGCAAAGAAAAATAAGAACAGACTAAAAAACTACTTACGTATAGAGAAGTACAATATTTTACATTTGAAGATTGCTAGTAACAAACAGACAAACGAAAATGGGACGCCTACTTTATTTACAATATGGTATAAGCTTTATATTATTCTGTAAAATACAAATTCCGATTATTTTTAGACTAGGTTCTTCAGTGGCTTGTACCGGAAGTGCCCGACTTCAATGATTTATTGATCCTATAAGTTTTTTAACTTATGCAACCAATTATACATCTGTGAAGAATTTTGCTCACAAACGAATAATTCGACAAATAACACTTTTTCTTTAATCAGTGCGTAAGTAGAATTTTCACTCAGCCAAAGTACCCACTTCTTTCGGTTGAAACGTATTTACTTTAAGCGAAATTGCTCCCCTTTAAAGATCCATTACTTTGTTAATCGATTCCTAGGGGAAGGAAACGAATTTAAACGGATATGAGAATCACCAAATTAAAATGAATGTGGGTTTATTACATCTGATTAAAAAGAGATATGCATCGTGGGATTTAAAATGTAAATTTTTCCCTATTTGTGGAAAGTCTAATTAACGTTAGGTAATTAGCTTTAGGGTTTATTACCTATTTGCATATTTCCTTCTCTCTAAAGATTCTTGTTATTAATTAACTAAAAGAAAACCATTTTAATTATTGTTATAAAAAGCTAATTTGTTTAAAAGTCATCAATTTATATATGTCCATTTCCATGTGTACGTTGAAATTGTGACCCATTTCGGCGCACTCGTCCGTAACAAGTAATTAGAAGAGGGCTTAATAATTGCCAGTTAATTAATGGCAATAATATTAACATGCCATCTAATTACTTACAACGTGTCCGCTTAGTTCGTATTAAACAGAACATTCATGTCAAAACTGATGGATATAATTAAAAAAAATATATAGAGAAATGGTTTTTCAGTGCTTAGTTCCAACCCTAGATCGATCACATTCTGCCCATTTCAGTCAGTTTCACTTTACTCCCCGAAATCATTTCGGCCGTTATCACTAAGATCAAAGCACCGGCTATGTTTTATTCGTTCTGCATCCCGATCTAGTTAAATCCTATCGAAACGTGAAAAAATTCCGAACGACCATTTTCAAGCTACATTACATTCTCGGTGCGTTTTATTCGTTCAAATTTATTCAAATCTAGCCCGAAAGGGAGAAATTTACATTTCAGATACTAGTAAATTCTGCATTTGTTTCAAATTGGTGAAGATCTACGTTTCATCATCCATAAAAAGCATGTCTTTGATGCACTCGCTCATTGAAAGAGTTTGAGTGTGTCGATATCGAATTCCGGGATTCGGAGTTGTTCGGGTGCAAAGAGAGCACGTTTTGAAAAGAGGTAGTAATTAAATTATTGGTAACAGTTAATGAGTGATTTATTGGAATTTGAGTTTTAATCAGGCGCTGTCAGGCTGCAACGAGTGTAGTATGACCTGAAAGGCTATAATTATTGGTAGTTACTGGTTTACAACGGTGATTTATTTTGCATTTTTTATTAGTATCACAGTAGCACATGTCTGGTGTAGGTTGAGCTGATTATACAAAGTGAACACGGGATTTGTTTGATCCTAAAGCCGCAATGTATACTTTTTTTTTCTTTTGGTTGACTTGCTTAAAGAATCGTAGAGAAAAATTTAGAACAGCTTTTTTTGGGGTAATTTTCGAAGTTTTTTTGACTGATGCACCACTTCAACAAAATATTATGGAGCGCTGAAATTACGAAATATGAATATTCATGGTTTAATCTTTTTTAATAATTCGTTTTAAACTGGCGATTAGATTAGATAAAATACGTAGTTCACAGACCATTTTTCTTTATATGAGGGAATTATTTTTGGAATTTTAAATGTACAAAATATTTATAAATAAATATTTTTGATTTCTGTAGTAGTTTTAATTGTACGAATTGTACAATCACGGGGTTACAAGAGCTAAAATCAAAATCAAAGTCACAATTGTAAACACCAGTGTTGGGGACAGATACTTTTAAAATTATCTAGATACAGATAATTTTCAATTTTTTCGAAATGTATCTAGACAATAGATACAAAAAAAAACAAATACTTCCTGAAATTTTGGCCAATGCAACAACTGATAACAAGTTTTTATTTATTTTTTTAATGAACCTTTTAAAATTAATATTTCAAATGTTGCCGCCTAAATTATTTTTTCTTGGAGTAAGAATTTGATTTTCGCTGTTTACAATTTTTCTTTATTATTTATTCTGTATTATTTTTCCATCTCTTTATGATTAAATATTCGTATTAAATTGTAAACAATTTATTCAAAACAAAAATAAACTTCTTATGAAAATACATAATAAAATAAACATAAATAAAATTCTTCTTTGTGCTATTTACCTACTAATCTCTTTGTCATTACAAACACCACAGAACAGTCAATTTAACACTGTTACTGCTAATTATCTGCTGAAAATCTTGAAATAGCATAAATTGTCAAAAACTCACATTTTAACCATGAGGATATATTTATAAATTTCATTGAAACTTATAAGGCTCTGAAATATTTCACGCTAACAAAACTGTACTTGCAGGAGAAGTAAATAATTAGTGAAATATTTTTTTTACAATTTTCAACATTTACGTCCACAAGAACATTTTTCATTGACCCCTAAAAGAACAAAATTTTAAACGCCACTGGTCGATTTTCTCCGCGCAGCTTTCGATGACTCAATGTGCTGTTTTCAAATCATTTCTACTCTAAAATATGAGAGCTTCAGTAAACAGATAATTATAGTGCATTTCAGAACTCCGTTCGCCTAAGCCGAAACATTGACAGATTCCAGGGTTTCTCGATCATCGGTCGGTTGAGAGATGGAGCCAACGATTAGTTTTGTTTTATTAATTGTAAATAATAAAGCAATATGTTACCTTTAAAAAAATGCCTCTTGTACATGTAAATGCACTGCTTCAGCATGCACTGATTTTATCTATATACAGATAATAGATAACCAAATATTTATCTAGATACAAATATCTAGATCATGTCTAACACTGGTAACCACAATCACAATCGAAACCACAATTCAATCAAAAGTTTCCAATGACGTCAAAGTCGCCAAAGTCGCCAAAGTTATAAATGTCCCGAAAGTCGCCAAACTCGCACAAGTCGCCAAAGTCACCAATGTCACTAGAATCGCCAAACTCGCCAAAGTCGCCAGAGCCGCCAAAGTCGCCAATGTCGCCAATGTCGCCAATGTCGCCAATGTCGCCAAAGTAGCCAATGTCGCCGAAGTCGCCAAAGTCGTCAAAGTGTTCAAAGTAGCAAAACTCTCCAAAGTCGTCAAAGTCGCCACCGTCACCAAGTCGCCAAATGTTCCAAAGTGACCAAAGTCGCCAAAGTCGCAAAAGTCGTCAACGTCGGCAAGTCGCGAAAGTCGCAAACGTGGCCAAAATCGCTGACATCACCAAAGTCTTCAATGCCACCAAAGTCGCCAAAGTCGCCAAAGTGTCCAAAGTAGCAAAAATCGCAAAAGTCGCCAATGTCGCCAAAATCGCCAAAGTCGCCAAACTTGTCAGAGCCGCCAAAGTCGCCAATGTCGCCAAAGTCGCCAAAGTCGCCAAAGTCGCCAATGTTGCCAACGTCGTCAATGTCGCCTAAGTCGCCAAAGTGACCAAACTACCAAAGTCTCCAAAGTTGCCAAACTCGCCAACGTCATCAAGTGGTCAAAGGCTTAAAAGTCGCCAAAGTCGCAAAAGTCGCCAATGTCGCCAAACTTGCCAATCTCGCCTAAGTCGCCACAGTGGCCAAAGTGTTCAAAGTAGCAATAATCGCAAAAGTCGCCAATATCGTCAAAATCGCCAAAGTCAACAATGTCGCCAAAGTCGGTAAAGTCGCCAATGTCGGTAATGTTGCCAAGGTGGCACAGTGCCAAAAGTCCCGAAACTTCCTAAAGTTCCGAAATTTCTGAAAGTCCCGAAAGTCATGAAAATCCCGAAAGTTATAAAAATCTCGAAAGTCCCGAAAGTCGCCAAAAACGCCAAAGTCGCCAAAGTCGTCATGGTGGCCAATGTCGCTGAAGTCGCCAAAGTCGTTGAAGTAGCCAAAGTCGCCAAAATCGTCAACGTCGCCAACGTCGCCAACGTCGTCAAGTCGCCAAAGTCATCAAAGTCACCAATGGCGCCGAAGTCGTCAGTGTCCAAAGTAGCAAAAGGCTCCAAAGTCGCCAAACTCCCCAAAGACGCCAAAGTCGCAAAAGTCCTCAAGGTTGCCAATGTCGCCAAAGTCACCAACTTGCCAAAGTCGCCAAAATCGCCAACGTCGCCAAAGTCGTCAAGTCGCCAAAGTCATCAAAGTCATCAAAGTCTCCAAAATCGCCAAAGTCGCCAAAGTCGCCAAAGTCTCCAAAGTCGCCAAAGTCGCCAAAGGCGCCAAAGTCACCGATGGCGCCGAAGTCGTCAGTGTCCAAAGTAGCAAAAGGCTCCAAAGTCGCCGAACTCCCCAAAGATGCCAAAGTCGGAAAAGTCCTCAAGGTCGCCAATGTCGCCAAAGTCACCAACTTGCCAAAGTCGCCAACTGTCTAAAGTAGCAAAAATCGCAAAAGTCGCCAATGTTGCCAATGTCGCCAAAATCGCCAAAGTCACCAAGGTCGCCAATGTCGTCAAAGTCGCCAATGTCGCCAATGTCGCCAAAGTAGCCAATGTCGCCTAAGTCGTCAAAGTGGTCAAAGTGTGCAAAGTAGCAAAAATTCTCCAAAGTTGTCAAAGTCGCCACCGTCAACAAGTCGCCAAATGCTCCAAAGTGACCAAAGTCCCCAAAGTCGCAAAAGTCGACAATGTCGCCAAATTCGCAAAAGTCGTCAACGTCGGCAAGTCGCGAAGGTCGCAAACGTGGCCAAAGTCGCTGACATCACCAAAGTCTTCAATGCCCTCAAAGTCGCCAAAGTGTCCAAAGTGGCAAAAATCGCAAAAGTCGCCAATGTGATCAAACTCGCCAAAGTCGCCAAAGTCGCCAAAGTCGCCAAGGTCGTCAAAGTCGCCAAACTCGCCAATGTTGCCAACGTCGCCAATGTTGCTTAAGTCGCCAAAGTGTCCAAAGTAGCAAAAGTCCCCAAAGTCGCCAACGTCACCAAGTGGTCAAAGGCTTAAAAGTCGCCAAAGTCGCAAAAGTCGCAAAAGTCGCAAATGTCACCAAAGTCGCCAAAGTGGCCAAAGTATTCAAAGTAGCAAAAGCCTCCAAAGTCGCTAGCGTCACCAAGTGGCCAAAATCGTCAATATCGCCAAGTGTTCAAAGTAGCAGTAATCGCAAAAGTCGCTAATATCGTCAAAATCGCCAAAATCAACAATGTCGCCAAAGTCGGTAAAGTCGCCAAAGTCGCCAACGTGGCCAATGTCGCTGAAGTCGCCAAAGTCGTTGAAGTAGCCAAAGTTGCCAAAAGCGCCAACGTCGCCAACGTCGTCAAGTCGCCAAAGTCACCAAGTCGCCAAAATCGCCAAAGTCGCCAAAGTCGCCAAAGTCGCCAAAGTCGCCGAAGTCGCCATGTGTCCAAAGTAGCAAAAATCCCAAAATCCAAAAATGTCGCCAAAATCGCCAAAGTCGCCAAAGTCGCCGATGTCGCCAAAATCGCCAATGGCGCCGAAGTCGTCAGTGTCCAAAGTAGCAAAAGGCTCCAAAGTCGCCAAACTTCCCAAAGACGCCAAACTCGCAAAAGTCCCCAATGTTGCCGATGTCGCCGAAGTCGCCAAATTCGCCAAAATCGCCAATGTCGTCAAAGTAGCCAATGTCGTCAAAGTAGCCAATGTCGCCTAATTCGCCAAAGTGGTCAAAGTGTCCAAAGTAGCAAAAGTCTCCAAAGTCGCCAAAGTCACCAATGGCGCCGAAGTCGTCAGTGTCCAAAGTAGCAAAAGGCTCCAAAGTCGCCAAACTCCCCAAAGACGTCAAAGTCACAAAAGTCTCCAAGGTCGTCAATGTCGCCAATGTCTCTAACATCACGAAAGTCGCCAACGTCGCCAAAGTCACCAACGTGGCCAAAGTCGTCAAAGTCGTCAAATTCGACAAAGTCAACAATGTCGCCAATGTTGGTAATGTCGCCAAAGTCGAAAAAGTGCCAAAAATCCCCAAAGTTTCGAAAGTCCCGAAACTATCGAAAGTCTCGAAAGTCACCAAGGTGTCCAAAATCTCCAAAATCGCAAAAGTCCCCAAAGTCACCAAAATAGCCAAACTCGCCAATGTCGCTAATGCCGCCAAAGTCACCGAAATTTGCAATTTGACACCCTTTAAATTTAACAGTTTGTACAAAATCAAAAATTTGTCCATCGGATACAAAGTCCCTTTACAAATCAAAATCAAAATTTCCAAATCTCTAAATCTCCAAACGTCCAAACCTCCAAACTTTCAAACCTCCAAACCTCCAAATCCCCAAATCTCCAAATCTCCAAATCTCTAAATCTCCCAATCGCCAATTCGCCAAATCGTCAAATCGCCATACCGCCAAATCGCCAAATCGTCAAAATTGCCAAATTGGCTAAATCCGCCAACGGACCAAAGTTCTCAAAGTCGCGAAAATCGCATAGGTAGCAAAATCCACCCCAACACACAATCAAAAGTTAAAATCCAGGTCGTAACTCTTGTAGAAACTCTTGTAGCGATTTGGAGATTTGGAGTATGTTATTAATTGTTATATATGTTTCATTTTTTTTTTTTTTTGTTTAAAGAATCTAATCTATTTAATCTATTGATCCGTTTTAGATTTTTTTGGTCAGATAAGTAGGACCGGGTCAGTTCAAAGCAGTTCAAGTCAAAATTGGTGAGGTTAGAATTAGGAGATTCCAGAGCAAGTGACCTTGAATTGATTTTGGTAAATGAATTTTTTTTGTGATAAACCCAATAAGTACACACGAAGAAGGCATCCAGAAAATTAGATTTTTTGCGAAAATCTTGCTTCCAAGCGGAAAATCTTTAGGCGGATTCATAACCCACAATTACAGGAACATGTTGTTTGATAAAATTTCAATAACAATGACAGCGTTTTATCATCAATAGGATATTCCTAATACGCGTATGAAATTTGACAACAATCGGTTCTATAGTTTCAGAGGGTCAAGAAATGTCGAGAAAACATGAAAGTGGTTATTCGCCGGATATATCCTAATCACTATTCTTTAGCTTAAATTCGGGAATTAAAAATATTAAATGAATATTTATCGCCTTGAAATAATGCATAGCATGTGTTATTATAATATAGTCGTTTTGAATTCGCATACTCTGAAATTTTTCGAAACGTATTAGCTTGATGTTTGCTATGTTTTAGATAACTTCTGACTGTGTAAACATCGGTCACTCTTTTGCTAAATTTACATATATTTTAAATTTTGTTGTGCAATGTACGAATGTTTAATGTGTATTTATTATAACGGAAATACACATTTACATTTCGCAAATTTGAATTGTGTCTAATAAATACTTGTAAACTCAATATCCATTTCACCAGAAACAACATAAAGACACATTAAGCTTTCTTAATGTGTTTGATAACTGCTTTGAGTAAGAAATACGTTTTCAAGTCAGTTACTCTGAAGTTTAGAGGAAATAATTGCAGATGTTATGTAAATTACAAAACTTGTTTAATTGTTGTGATTTTAATGTTGGAAGTTGGGTTCAGACAAAGCGGAATTATAATTATTCGAGAATTTTAGTAGAGTAAGTACATCTGTAATTTACAAAGATTATTACTTGTGTATTAAAATTATGGCAAAAATAAAAAAAGAATTCTAAAAATACGTTTTTCTTTACTCTAAAAGCTTTTTGATATGTTAGCTGATGTTTAAAGTACAACCTAATTTAATATTTTGCATACAAAGCTGAATTCATGTCATGTACAGCACGTGCAGAGAGAATAAGGTGATAAACGTTATCGCATATACAAGATTTAGAATCTTGGGAAATGGGTAATCTATACATAAAAGATTTAACGCTCTTTTAGAAGAAAATGTGTTATAAATGGGTTGTGAATGCCGTGAACGAACAAAAATCTCTACATACAGAAGATTAGATGCATTTCATTGTTGAATTTATTTTTAACACAGATTGAGAATATATTTTTTGAATTCACATGATTTTTCTTACGACTGTACAATACACAATAAGTAAGGGATTTCAAGTGAATTCTGGTAAAACATTTGACCAGTATTTTATTATCATTTCAGTTCATTTTATCGTACAGAACAAAATAATTACAGAATTACACTACAAGTTCTTTTTCAGGGAGGAAAGCAATGAGAAAAAAATGGAACAAAAAAATATTAAAAGGTCGTAGAAATAACACAAAAAAGGAAAAAAAAACATACAAAAAAAGTTATCCTGGAGCCTGTAACATTCGTGTATTATTCAGTATTCGAGCATCGTTCGACATTACAATTGCTAAATCACAAAAAACTCGTATGGTGAATGTAAAATTCGAAATTTGCAAATCCATTGCCAAATGGGCGTATAAATTTTCTCAGAATTACGATTGTGGTGCTTATTTTTGATATATCTCTTACAATAAGCGAGAAAAATGCAAATTTGTCGGTCGCCCCAATTTTTTGGAGTTGATAAACAGACACATTTTGATTAAAAAGTTACCATGCTTACAATAACTTCAAAAAAATATACACCTTAAAAAATATTATACTTCTTGGTAAACAGAGTAAAAGTACTTACGTTGTATCAAAGACATTTATCACCCCATCCAGTCTTGGATTACTTACTTCAAATATGTCAGGAATCACGCTCTGATAGTATAATACATATAGATTTTTTGCTCTGTTTTTTCGATACTGAACTTATTCAAATTAAGAAAATTCTTAATTTTGACATCCTCTGAAACAACGACTTTGGTTTCTGGAAAATCAAACCCAACTTACCCATCGTTTCCGGCAGGTGTGACTGAGTCTTCAACCACGTTTTGATAATGTGCACGTCATCTTCAACTAATTGTTCGTTACGTCCAAACGTTTCGTACGCGTTTTTTTAACATCCTCAGAGACTTCGTACATGTGTGTTTACAAGTGTACGTGTAGAAATCACTTGTTTGACTGATTACACCTACAATTTTTTTATTTGTCGTAAAACTCATTAAGCAGAACCGGATGTTCACATAATTTTCCTTGATAGGCTTTCTAAATACATTTATTTTTGAAAGATTGATTTTTTTTATTCATCATTTTGCGCATTTCCTGTCTACCCAGCAATTTTGTAGTTATTTTCATATTATTAGCATTTTAAATTGCGTAATAGTTATGTTATTACTAACATCAAGTAAACAGCTTTCAATTATAGAAAAATTTATCCAAAAAGGCACTAATTTAAGTGCAAAACTCAGACATATTTAATCAAAATCTATTCGTTTGAAGCTCCCATAGAAACCCAAAATTTCATCGTTGTTCAGTTTAACTGTGTTTCCATAGTTTAAATAAATAAATGTACTGGCCATCTGATAGTAGAATGGAATTTTCTCGAGAGTCTCGTGATGATTATTCTGAGCAGCTTAAAATTTTAGCCTCATTAAAATTTTTACAAACTTACCTGTTGAAGTGTACATGTG